AAGTGAGCAGTGGTAGTGTTGGAGTTGGGAGTTACAGGCCAATAGGTGAAATACATATTTTTATGCCGGGGTGAAAGCCTGGGGTCCAAGTTCAATCTGATAGTCAAAAGAGGTGCACTAAAGTCCTAGAAGCAGTAAAGTAATATCGATAGGGTCAAATCTGAATCAAAGGCTAGGGTTGCAGAACGAGAGACAGGAAAGGTAGTCTTTTCGGGAGTAGTTGGTTTCCGAGTTGCTTGTTTCAATCTTGTTACCCAGGCAGTAATTCCTTATTCTAAGATCAAGTATGAGAAGCGCTGACTCAAGTCAGAATCAAAGACAACCTTGGTATCGGTAGCTAAAGCCTTTTCATTTTCTTATTTTATGATGTTTAAGTCTCCCATGATAACCCATATAGAGAGTTAGTGCTTGATGATACCATCGCCAAAGCTCGATTCTTTCCAGCACAGAATGAGAATAGAAATCCAATAGAGAGCCCGGGCATACTGCTATATGAGAATGAGCTGTCTTTGTATTGGAGTATAAAATGTATAAGATTGGAGCACTTTCTTGCTCTTTTCTCCTTTTTTTCGACATGAGTTGGGCTAACGGGACAAGGAGTTTTTTCAGGTTCAAGTCAAAAGGGTCTTAATCCAATGGAGAAGATAAGATTCCCGGCTAAAGTGCTAGTTCCTGTATTTGCTGATGACGAAGAAGGCGAGGTAAGGAAAGCAAACTAAAGAGAAGCGTGCAGGATCAATCAAACTGTGAAAAACCTTATGCTCACAAAGAAAAGGTCATGGGTTTTGTCGAGACAATAAAAGTGTGTGGGAAAGATCATATCCATCTAGGGGCTTCAGCCTCCTTTCCTGAGCGCTATGCTCATTATTAGTATCTTGATTAGTTTCAATACACCTTCTCTGGAAGTGTATTAGTTTCTTTTTGATACCTTCTCTTGAGGAGCCTTCTCTTCCTTCGGCAAACAAGCTAAGGCTTTCGGGAACAGAACTCACTGCTTTCTCATCAAATAGATTGTATACTGTATCCTAGAATAGAAGCTATGTCCACCTCATCAAATAGATTGTATACTGTATCCTAGAATAGAAGCTATGTCCACCACCCCATACGACTAATACTAAATAGAGAGGGCCTCGTGGTTCTCGACCAGTTACATCTGCTTCGCCTGCTCGTCAAGATATTACATTAATCTATTCGCTGTTATTTGAGCAAGGAGTTGGGGCACACAATAAGTTCCATTGTACTGCAAATGGAAGAAATCATTCTCACAAATAACGGGAAGAAATCATTCTCACAAAGATCATCCACAACTAAAGGTACTGCGACGCCTGCTTGAACTTCTGCCCCTCCTGTTGTCTCCGTTGCTATGGGGTTGTCCTCCGCACCATCTCTATCTGTCCAACTAAGGTGTCACTGGACTTAATAAAGCTACTTATACCTAACCTTGTCCAAGCTTGATCTTCGACCGACCTCTATCGCACTTATTGTTATTTTATGGAGTTGCCTCGAATAATATGACTGGTAATGGCTGGCTCTTTGTTACATGGCACAGCTGCTCCTCGCCCTCTATCTTCATGATGGATCCATCTTAATTGGATCTTATAGTCTTGGTTCTATTCGTTCGTCTCCAAAATCCGCCCTTCTCTTTCTTATGGTCTGGAATTGGAACTAATCAAATATGTCCGTTGGCAAAGTAGTGAATCCAAAATAATAGGTAATGTCACATATCATAATACATCTATTAATCTTATTTATTTGTGCAGGACCTACGAACCGGGACAACCGGGAAGCTGATTGGTAGAGACCATATAGTCGGCCACCTGTTTTAGGCTCAGTACTCCCTAACGAACTTAGAATATGGTAACTCCACTCAAGACTCTTCACTAGACGTAGACGAGAGAAGGAGCCAAAGAAGAAACGGAATCCTTTCTAAGAATTGAAGATAAGAGTATGAAGTCAAAGGAACTACAGCAACCAGATAAGAGTATGAAATACAAGGAGCTACAGCAGGACAGGACGGAAAGAATAGGAACAAGGAAGGGCTTGCTTCACTTGAGTTCCGAGTTAAGAGTTAGAACAAGCAAGTGGTAGATCAGCAACAGTAAGGGTAGAAAGAAAGTACAGATTATAGGCTACAAATGAACTAGAGCAGCCAACAAGCCGAGAAGAAGCTAAAGAAGGAGCAAGATCAACAAACGGTTTAGAAGGAGCAAGATCAACAACCAACCGGTTTGAAAGATTGCAGTACAGTCGACGGTGTTGGCGCAGCTGCAAACGAGACAGGAGGACCGCGCGAAGAATCAATTCCTTCTGATGCTAATACGGTTCGAGCTTGAGTAGAGTATCTTTCATCCCAACAAGCAGACAGAGCAAAAGAGATAGAGAAAATGAATGATTTGTGACAAGAAGAGAAGAGATGGCCCCTTATATACAAGTGAACAGGACTCGGTATATTAATTAGTAGCGGTAACTAATAACTGGCTTCTGAAGCACTAACTGAGCTGAGTTGAGTAAAAAGAGCATAAGTTGCAGTCTTGTTCGAGGTTTTGAAGCGAAGCGTTAACGGGAGTGAGCTTACCTTAGTTGTCGTATATAGAATAGAATGAGTGGACCTACTTACTATAGAATGAGCGGACCTACTTACTGCAAAGCAATGTTACATTTTCTGAGTGACCCCGAGACTAGAAAGAAGCCTTAAGAAGCGGTTTGCCCAGCCCTATCAATTGGTTTTTCTCTTCATGTGCCCTCTTCAACCCTTTCATAATGCAATTGCAAGCAGTACTCTAAGCTTATACTATTCGATTCCATAAAAGAGCCTACTCTAAGCAGCATCAGCTAAGATCAAATCGTCTGTTGTGCCCGGTCTGTTGCGGGCTATCATTCGTATCTTCATTGGTAGTTAAGTTACTTGCATAAACAGGAAAGTCAGAAGTCCCCTATTCTGGAACACCCTACTTTATTCATTTACGATTACCCTTATTTTTGTCCTTACCTGCAAACTTCTCATTTGAGAGAGCGTAAATAAAGTCCTCTGCCTGCTGTAAGGCCCAAGCAAGGAAAGAAGGGCGGGAGACTCAAAAAGATGGGTTAGCGAGGCGGGACGAAAGGTTTGAATTGATTGAGAAGGACTTGGCCCTATCGTCAATCGCCGGTCAATATTCTTTCTTTCTACTATACTAGTTATCCAATAAGAGGAATCGGGGACGGCACTTAGTTTTGACATTCTTTCTTCGTTGGTACCCCAGAACAATAGTCAGTAGTCAGGTATAGCCAGTAGTTGGCCTTAAGCCTAGCAGTGTTACGGAATCGTGTTCAGGCTCTTAGCACCTTTCTGTAAATATCAAGTCTGAATGTACTTATCTCTAAGAGAATGGCTTGCCCCCACATGTTTTAGATCTAGAATCGAAGAGTCAACCCTCGGATGCCGGTCTTTCACTCCGTGAAGGCTTTACAGAGAACTAGGCTTTTAGCTTCATTGGATAAAGGCAGAGATCACACTGGTTTGTAATTGCTTTCTTTGGCTGTCACTTCATTCATCCGTGATACCGAAGGCCTTTTCAAAAGCATCTTTTGATCCTGTTTTCTCTGCTTTAGGGTAATCAAACTGTCCCAGAGCAGAATAAATGGCAACTATACTAGTGAGTCATTTCGTACTTATGTCGTTGGGGAGCGGAAATGGCACAGCAAGAAGAAAGAACAACCGAAAGTCTTCGACTTACCTCTAGCATTTTCTTCTGTAGCTAATACAACTGATGTTGCTTCATCTCCTTTCCCATCCGCCCGGGGAACCGAGTCCTCTTTAGTTATTAATGAATTGGCTGCTTCAGAGGATACCACTTATGTAACTGACTCAGTAGATGGACGAGACCAACCTCTTTCACCGAGCCGAAAAGTCTGCGTTGCCAGCTGCTTGTTGAATTCTATTACAAGGCTCGCACCGCCCTAACCCGAACTCTCTAGGGAACTCTCCTTTCAGAACCGCTCACTCCAAAGCGAACTGCTTACTCTCCACTTTAATAATTCGCTAATGTAGCTCACCTTCTTTTTTGAATGGAATCTCTCTCTTTCGCCTGTTCCAACATTTTCTACCGCATACCTTCCCTTTTGCTGACCTCTACTTTCCGTTGAAGTTCCTTTCCTTCTACTGATCTTGATTCTGATCTATCTTTATGGTCTTGCTTCCCCACCTTCTCTTACATCTTCTGGGCTTCCATCGTAGACTTCACTGTCAACCTTTCTTTGGACCACTACTGGGGGCTCAGTATACCCAACAAGAGCTCAGTAAGCGAGATCACCTTTTGCCGAACAATCTCTTTCTTTCAACTGAGTCTGATCCTAGAACGAGAACACTCAATGAGTTCTTAAAGCTATGCAATGGTTGGTTCCTTTTGATTCTATATATGTGTGTGAGTGAGATTCAACAAGCAACTCATACTTAATTAACGCCTTAGGAATGATTTCTTTTCTTTTGCGTTTCGCACCCAGGCGCTAAGACTTATTCGTTAGTGGTGATTTGTATCGTTAGTAGTGATTTTGAGTTTCGCAGTGTTTTGTTACTTTTATTATATCACATATGCCATATATGCTAAATAAAGAGGCATGTATGCTTTCCTTTTTCCCCTAATGCCATATAGGCTCAAAAGACAGAGGTTGGCCCACCAAGTAGTTTCGTTTTAGAAGCAAAGCAGTGTTTTTGACTCTTTCTTCCATAAGGACCAGAACCAGAAGATCCATTCTACCTAGCATAAGATCCATTCTATCTAGCGCCATCAGCCAATCTGTCAAGCGCCATTAGCCAATCTGTCAGCCGAACCTCCTCTCGCCCTTACTTATTAATATTAAGGCTTTCTTATGAGACCCCTATTGCTACTGTACCTCTGGCTCATCTAACTACATTTCTTTGATACCGGAATGAGGCTCCTCTACCTCCTTATTCTTCCCTTAGCTTAGCTCCGGTAGGCATGAGAACTGAATAAGTCCTGTATTAAGGGTTGGTTAGTGACTTTTTCTTTCTATTACACGCCTCCCCTTCCCTTAATGTTACTTCAATGAGTGAACCACTCCCCTCGACCTAGACCACTCCTGTTTCTATTAGTCTCGACCTAGACCACTCCTGTTTCTATTAGTAAAGTAACCTAACTCTGATACTAAGATACAAACTGAACTCTTGAACTCCCTAGTAATTCACTCCTCTTTCTTGCCAGTTACCAGAGGTGGATGATAAAGCTGCTTGTTCAATAAGGTATAAAAGAAGAAATCTACTATCTGATTTCCCCAACTCGTAAACTAGGTATTCCACGGGAGCAGGTATAGTTAGATTAAGGGGGAGGAGTTACAGAGTTACCGACAAAAGTGAAGTTAAAGAAACCTATCGAAATTCCATCTTATATAATAAAGATCCAAGATTTCACTCATAAGATAGATAGAAAGTTGGAATGTAGGGAATTGTCCTTCCCGAGCCAAGAAATGTAGGGAATTGTCCTTCCCGAGCCAAGAGTAGTTAACCAGTCTCTTTGAAACCAACCCGTAGTACTGTTATAATACCTATTGCTCTACTTTCTTTCTTTCTTGATAGGCCTAGTTGCTAAGGAGCTTTCTGAACCTGAACCAATTGTTGTTGCTCTGAACCAGAACCACTTGTTGCTGACTGACCTCTATCTCTTGCCAATCAATACTAACCTCACTCCGGAGTGTAGCCCCGGGCTTCCCTTATCTTTATTATCCTGCACCACCAGCATCTTACTTAAACAAACCCTTCAACTACTCCTGTGAAGAATAGCTTCCCGCTTCAAAGCCTGTACTTTAGAACCTATATCTCCACCACTACATTAAGGGGCAAGCAAGAACAAAGAGCAATGGAATCCCTAGTTTCATCCGGTATCGGTCATCCTATATATAGAGAAATACTGAATTTAGTAGTTTCATAGTAGGGACCAAGCAACTAGGCATGTAACTTATAATGTGCAGCGTCAGTGAACTCGTTACGCGTTAGTGTGAGAGGCGTGGAAGGGAGCTCCAAAGTAGTTGAGGTAGTTGTGGCCTGGCCCAGTTAGAAGAAGTAGAGTGCCCCTCCTAGTAGAAGAAGTAGAGTGCCCCTCCTAGCCCGAGGTATTATATAAGAGAGTAGCCCGCAGTATTCTTTATTTCTTGATTTCTGTATGTCTTTCTTTATAGCCATAGCCTCTACTACCCGAGTATTGGAATAAAATCACAAACACTAAAATAACTAGAAGAAAGGAGAAACTAGAAGTTAGAAACTACAAGCAAGTGAGAAACTACCAAGTATGAGTTATTACATGTTATGTAAAGTCCTGTATTCATCTCGTATACTGCCTCAGTAGACACTAAGTATCAAAAAAGCCATATCAAAATAGATGTTATTATTAAGGATAAAGTAACTACGAAACTACTAGTTGAAGGGCGAATACAGAAACACTCAGGATTCACAGACAGGACTTGGGACAAGTGATCTTAGCGCTACCCATATTGTTAGAAAGCAAGATAGGTCTCCCCCCTCGTATTTGCTTGTCTCAGTAAGTTAAGTAAAAGCTCCAGCACCCATACCCCGTAAGTCAAGATAGGCTGTTTATGACTCTTGAGAGCGGATTCCCTAGTTTCATTAGTTATCCTTTAGAAATATCAGATATAATTAGTAGGGGCCCAGCAACAAACTACTAGGTTTCATCCATTGTTTCATCGACAAGTCTTGTTCGTTCGGTCAGGTCAACATTGTCTCCCGCGCCTCCCTATAACTACTTATCTAGCCTATCATAGTTACCGCAAGACCTATTTTTGCTTCTTGAAATCCTGTGTTCGCCTGTTCGTGGGAGTATAGAGCTTAACTGTAGTAGTGAGTTCAAAAGGATACTTATTTGCGTCTAGGGTGGAATCTGTCTTTTATACTTTCTAAAGAGAATATATCATAGATAAGAAATAGTATAATAGAAGGAATGCCCTAATACATAATTGCTAGTGAGCTGGCGGTTAGACGCACCCCCAAGAGATTATCAACTTGCTTCCTTCCTTGCCTGTAAGATAGTCTGCCCCCTTAAGGCTCGTAAACTTGCTTCCTTGCCTGTAAACTTGCTTTCTTTCCTGTAAGATAGTCTGCCCCCTTAAGGCTCTTCTAATGCTTTGATGCCTAGAATCTGGACTTTGGAACTCCCTTTATGGGCCGAGTCCACCAGTCATTTCTCTTAGTAAGCGCCTCTTGTCAAACATTCCAATTCAACAACTATCCCTTTTGCACTAGGAATGAACTATCCCTTTAGCACTAGGAATTGAAGAAAGGATACTCGAACACTACAAGCAAGATTCGGGTTTCAAATGAACTAGAACAGCCAGTAAGTACCAACATAGGCTTGCCTAGTAGCTTGGCAGACTTGGAGTTGCCGATCCACCTGTTGCTTCAACTCAATTCTGAGTGTTTCCCATAAGGCTAGGGACTCATACTAGGCTATTATTACTTATCTCGGAGAGCAAGGTGCTGAAAGCCTTATACTTGTTTGTTTCATTCTGACTTTAGAGTGGAGTGGAGAGCGCATGGTTAGTTCCCTGAATCTTATTATACCCGGAGAACTCTTCTGTTTCAGGACTTAGCGCAGAAGCCTGAAAAGCCACAGCATCCCGATAACTATAACCATCTTGACAATCTGATACAGCAATAGCACAACTACTCCTGTTAGCGCAAATCATTCCACAACTTTGACTTTTGCCACTTATACTGGGCCACTCATCCTTCTCCCTAACCTTATCCAGCAGCAGTTTTGGCCTCTTCTGAGCTTAAGCAAGATCCTTATACCTGCTTTATACCCGGATTCGGCATCTTATCTTTCCACTGAACAAGCAACTTCAAGTAATAACACACGACAGCATCATTTCCTGACTTTTCATCTTATCTTTCCACTCGTATAAAGTACTTCGCCCCCTTACTTAATACTTCACTTCTTCTGTAGCAGCTGATCAGGATACGGCTTCTGGAACAATACTTTATCAAGCTTATGATCTTGGGGCGGGATACTCCACTCTTATAGCCTCAGATCTTTCTTACCTTTGTTTAGCACTTGGTATATAAGGAAGTAAATACACAGCTTCTTTACTATTTCATCTCTTATTTCTTCTTGGAAAACGGACCAAGTAACTACAGGATGTTGAATAAGTTCCTCTGCTCCGAGTAAATGGATTGTTCCGCTGGAGCTCAAAGTAGTGTAGTTAGAAAGTGAGCTAAAGAATTGCCTGTTCTAAAGTAAGCAGCATAAAGTCCCTGGCCAAGTAATTACAGGAAATTATTTGCATGGAGTCTATTACACCCCCTAGGAAAAGAATAAAGCAAGTAAGACGAACACTAGCGGCCCTTTAGCCATGAATGAGGGAAGGGCGGTCTACTTCATACGAGATAGGTGCTTCTTCTCTACGAGTTCGACAGAATTGAATTGAGTGTTCCCTATGATAGAAAGAAGTCAAAAAAACAAGAAACTCAGGAACTAAGATAGGGGATAGTGTTTCGGCCACTCTAAAAGGGAGGGCTTCTGGGAATCTCCAACTTGTTCATGCGAACTATCATTTCGTTAGCGAGTTCATTGTCATCGGCGTTATGGAGTTCGACAGAATCGTCTTTTCACAGCCGGACTTGCATTATATGCTATATATACCAAAGACGTTGCTTGTTGAAGAGAATTGCCTGTGTAACGGAGCTTTGGAAGAATATACTGGTTCCAAAAGCGGTAAGCAGTGCTTGTCAAGTCAACTATACTAAAGAATGAGCTGTACTTGAAAGTCCAGAGGTGCTGTGCTTGTCAAGTTAACTATACTAAAGAATTAGCTGTGCTTGTAAAGTGTAGTTCTGGTAAAGAATAAAGTCATGGTATTTCTAAGTTGAAAGCATTTATTCACAGAAAGGATAGGTCGGATGCTAGGAAGGTAGAGTGAGTTCAGATAGCCTACCGATCTGAGTCTGTTAAGGGAGTAAGTGTAGCTAAGGCTTCTAGTTGTTGACAGTTAAAAAACACATAGCGCCAAGCAACATAGAAGTTCTAATGAGTTATTCCTGAGTCCTATACAAGGCCTACGGGACGGGAAGGGAGTTCCTGTCTTATAGAACATAGAACATCAGTGAAGAAATGAAGTTAGAACATCAGTGAAGAAATTCTGTCTGTCTTTGTTTACTTCGGATCAACTGTCTTTACAGCGCGGTGTACTGATCATACGAGCGAGTGTAGTTCCTTCGACGAGAAATAAGTGTTCTTCAGACAACACCGATAATTGCCCAACTTCATTTCATAATAATACTCTAAGTCCTTCATACTCGTTTCTTTCTGCTCTTGTTGAATCAAGAGTAAGCTGAGTCAGCGCAGTGTTCTTTCTCCTGCTTTACTTCAGAATGGAAGATGTTGCACGTAAACATAGTGTCCCGCTGTAGCTTCAAGTGGTAGAAATAGGTTCCAGTGTTGGTATCTATAAGCTCATCTATCTCTTTTCTCTGACCAAATGACATGAGAAAAGGCCCGCTCTCTCAAGCAGAACAGGTGAGGTGGTGCGTTAAGCATGCAGTAAACAGAACAAGCAAGGTGCTAAGAGCCAAGGCCATAATTGAGTACTTTTGTATAGGGTTCGGCTGTCAACTGCCTATGGAGATGATTTTCGTAAACCAGCAAGGGAACCATCCAGATTAGATGCTTGAGACGGCGCTAATAGAGTGGTAGTTCAGTTAAGGGAAAAAGTGAGTCGTGGAGAATGGAGTTTCACAGTGACAGTTCTTGTTGTTGTCGACGAGATAAGATTCGAAAGTGGAGTTTGAGTGTTGTCTAGGTTCGGTGCTAGTTTCATCGCAAGTCCTGTGTTCGGAAACTAGAAGTAAAACACCAGACTCTAATAGGCATTTCAAAGGGTAAGGCAAAGAGGGCTTTTGGAACTAAACTACTGAGAGCTAGACACTAACACCACAATAAACTCTCTATACCGACCCTAACTCTACTACTCTTAACAACAAGCAAACTGTCAAATAGCCAGCCCATTCTCTAAGTTGAACCCATGTGTAACGTTACTTATGATTACCTATGTTGCCTTCGTTACGCCTCTTGACTCTTGAAATGCATTTCTTCCTAATATACGGAATTAGTTTGCTTTGCGCTGGTCCTACTGGTCCTATAAGATTCTTCTTTGCGCTTTGAGGTCGA